CTATCTATCTATCTATCTATCTATCTATCTATCTATCTATCTATCTATCTATCTATCTATCTATCTATCTATCTATCTATCTATCTATCCATCTATATTATGTGTCACGATGTGGTTTAATCAGGCGCTCGTCAATTTTTGGGCCTATAAGGTTGATGGTATAATCTTAAAGCCTGTTCATTTGCCTTCGTTTAGGTGAAAAAAAAAACCCCTTACCGATCTATTTTGAATAGAAGTAGAGATATTTGCCATTGAAGGAAATCAGATTCGCCTTGTTTCAAAGGTAAAATTAGTGAGAAAATTGCTGCAAAAATCTGATAACTTCCATAGCCTGAGAATCCTTGGAAACTGAAAATTTACTTTTTTCTGCCTTTAATCAAAGTTTTTCCGCAAAAATTCACACAAAAATGTGTTTTTAAATGGATTGTTAAAGGTGTTGAGCGTAAAAAAAAAAGAATTAGAAAAACATTGCCCATCGGCCAAAATAAAAAAGCCAATTTCTTTGATTTAATTATTTCGACGAGAGCCTGAGTTCACCGCGATGCGTCACACACGCACACACACGCACAGACACACACACACACACACACACACACACATACACACACTAAAAACTCTCACATCACACACACATTCTCACTCTGTGTGTGTCTCTCTTTCTCTCTCTCGATCTCTTTAAGTATTGCCACTAACGTGTCATTAATGAGCAGTGACGTAGTTCATGTGCAAGCAAAATGTGTGTGTGTGTGTTTGGTTTTTTTGTGTGTGTCTGTGTGTCTGTGTGTGTGTGTGTGTGTGTGTGTGTGTGTGTGTGTGAAAGTGTAAAGTTCTTTGAAACTCTTCTTTTCTGGATGACGGAGACTTGTAGCATTTTATATGATATAATTTACTATTTATAAGAAACATTTTTTAATCTTGTCTCAATTATCATAGAAAAAATATTATGATTAGGTTAATACAAATTTATACAAACCTCTGTGCAAAGTGTGAATGACATTGATTCAACCGTTTAAGAGATCTGTGGGGATGAGTTGCTCTATACATTATTAAGGGTAGAAGCACAGAATCTCGACCACTACTATTTTTCTCGTCGCTGTTGTTGCAATCGTTTCTGCTAGTGCTACCGGCACTTATATGACCTTACTGTGTTGCAAATGCTGTTAAATTCTTACTAAAACTAAACGCTAGTGCTATTGGTACTGCTGGTGTCCCTGTAGTGAATTGAGGTGATGGGAATGATAATGGATATTGCATGTCGTATTATAGTTTAGGTGATGGTGGCTGTAGTGGAAGTGGGGAAAGTGATTGTTCTAAAAACTGAGAGCATTGGCTCATTGCATCGAATCCATCAGTGGTACGAAAGTATACAGAATGCAATATGGAAATTACTTCTGAATTTGCAAGATAAAGCATCAACAAGGTGGGGGAAAAATTAATAGTTGACATAATTATTTAATCTAATCTCGCTCTAAAGTAGCGTGTACACTTGTCCGAGTTTGCAGCATTTATCGTTTTTTGTTGTCGGCAAACACGACACTGGTATGATTATTCTGACCTGATGCCAGTCGACTTCGTACTTGATTTGCTGAAAGCACTGCGGTTTATGTTTTGCCGAACTGTTGTTAGCTTTTTACACTACCGACAACGTGGTACACTGATCCTGGGCGATGAACTGAGGGGAATTTCTTTTTCCTTCTAGGAAAGTTTGCCCTCAATGATGATGATGATGATGGTGATGATGATGGTAGAAAAATAATGACAGATATTCAAGACCCTCTAAAGCATTTGGATTTGTTTTCATTTCAAGAAAGAGAAATAGCAATAAACGATAGCAGACAAGTATATTTTTTTTACATATTGTGGTAAGTGGCAGCTGCAGACTACCATAGTGGGTGGTTGACAGGTGCTTTGGTGTGGTCAGCTTCTTCTTTCCTATCAAACATCTATCGTCCTTATCTCTCCTCCTCGTTCTGTTTTATGTTTGTTACTCTCTTGTGACACCTCTAATCTTCGGCACTTATATGACCTTATTGTGTTGCAAGTGCCCTAAAACTCTTACTTGAACTACTTGAACTAAGACTACCATAACGGTAATTTTTTTAAAGGGCAAATGACAGAAAGTGAAAGTCAAATGTGGACATGGTTTGTTTCAACAGCAAGAGAGCCCAAAGTTCACGTTTCATGATTCTGCTTTATATGTACGCATGAGGCTTTAAGCGAGTCCGAGCTGATCCGATCATACATATCCGTGTTGTCTGCCAACAGCACACCATATATAAGCAACCGTTTAACACTTTCAAAGGAACAAACCGTGTCAAAACAGCGCTTTTCTCATTCTCTTCCCAGGACGCGGAGTGACAAGGTTAGCAGACAACAAGCAAGTATTATGTTCGTATATTTTCTAAAGTGGTGTATTTGACATTTTACTTCTTTCACGAGACTGTGGATTTAAAATCTTTGATTTAAAATAAGATAACAATACGTTTTGATGATTTTAGCATTTTTCTACTTATACAAGGCTACTACTGATTTTATTATGGAGATGTTTTTACGCCCCCACCGACGCTGTTTAGATAATTTAGGAGACAGGTTCCCGACTCTGCCTGTCAAGGCTTAGCCCAGGCTGAGAGCGACGTAACATCCCTGCAGAAAGACCGAGATACTCGATCAACATTTTCTCCTCCCTTGGGAGCTGAACTGCTGTCTCTTGTGTGCGACAAAAAAGCAAACACAAGACTATTGTTTGGACGATTTCTCTGATCTCAGTGAAGATAACCTCAAATATGGATGTATTTTTTCTTCTTTGCCAAGTTCTTTGATACTGTGTTAATGAGTATTACATCGAGTGTATTAACTGCTAGAATAAATGGGTTGTCATCTGAATGTTATAAGCCCAGCGATTCCCGACCAACATTTACGATGTAACGGTTAGGCGCTTTGCTGTCGCACACAGGAGACCCCAATTCGATTCCTGAGAGTGAGATGTTTTTATTGACTGCCTCGGTCTTTCTGCTGGGATGTTGTATTCCTTTCAGACTGGGTTGGCCCTGACGGACCTCATAAATTATCTAAAGTGTGTTGATGGGAGCGTCCAAACGACCTACATGTTTAAAAAGCGATTTTTGCATGATTTGTAACGTTGAAATCGATGAAGATCCGGATTTTATGTTCATGCATTTGTGGAAAGATTTCTTTGACGATGTGTAAGCAAAATGAGTTGTATCTAGGTCAGCATCGGCAGGAGGCTTCTATAAATATTGCAGTGCAGAAAAAACGCTTTTGTTGCACAGCCGAAAAGTCCCACTGCTGAAGCGTATCGTGCACTTAAAGGAGTCGTCAAACTGTCGAATTTCCCTAGACGTAGAAAGAAGCACACACAGACGCCTACGCACAAACACACACCCCAAACACACACACAGACACATACATACACTCTCTCTCTCTCTCTCTCTCTCTCTCTCTCTCTCTCTCTCTCTCTCTCTCTTATGTATTATAAGAGCACGTGCCGTGCCATAATAATCGATGTCACACCATACCATACTATACTATGTATACCATGCGGTACCGAACCGTACCCTACTATACAATATCATACAATACATCGAAGAAATACAAGTTCTCGTAACGTAAATAGGGCTGTATATTTATGTGTCACGACACGGTGGAATCAGGCACTCGATATATTTTAAACATATGAAACTATTGGTATCATATTAAAGCTTGTTCGTTTGTCTTACCTTTGATTAAAAAAAAATACCCCTACAATGAGTGCCTGTGTGTGTGTGTGTGTATGTGTGTGTTTGTGTGTGTGTATGTGTGTATGTGTTAGTGTGTGTGTGTGTGTGTGTGTGTGTGTGTGTGTGTGTGTGTGTGTGTGTGTGTGTGTGTTTGAGTTTGTGATGTGTCTTTGAACGTAAGTGTGTAAGTGTGTCCGTGTTTATTTGTATGTATGTACGTAAATATGTGCATATGCGTGAGTGTAAGTGTATGCGGGTGTTTAAGCGAAAGATGTCTGTATATTTTACTATGCTTGGGTGTGCGAGTCTTCGCGGGTGAGTGCACGTGTGTCTGTGCATGTTTGTTTGTGTACATACTCATGTGTGTGTGTGTGTGTGTGTGTGTGTGTGTGTGTGTGTGTGTGCATGTGGGGGGGGGGTGAGGGGTGTATGTGTGTGTGTTGTGGCAACATTACAACGGTTCTGTGTTCTCGAAATATCTTGGCTTTCAGAGAAGAGCCAGATTCCACATTAGCATCTTCATCCTCGTCCTCCTCATCCCTTTATCTACTCCTCACATTTGTAGCATTACTCTTTTTCATCACCACGACCTTTAAGTTTACCTTCACCTCCACCTATCCCGTAGACTGGATGTCCTTCTGGGCGCTTTTGAAGATTTGGCCACCAGCTTCCTCCACTCCTTCCGGTCTTCAGCTATCCTGAGCGTGCCTTTGAGTTCCAGGCCTGTCCATTCCTTGATGTTTTCCTCAGAACTCTTCTTCGGTCTGCCTCTGCTCCTTTTTCCTTAGACGCTGCTTTGACTTTAAGGTATCTAATTTATTTATTATTTGCTCGTTTTCCTGGCAGAGACCATGGGGAGTACAAAGCGAAAGCTGGATCAACGGGCACACGCAGTTGCAAAGGGCCTTAAAGGTTAGTCATTAGGCTGTTCATAAATTGTTCCATCATCATCATCATCATCATCATCATCATCATCATCATCATCATCATCATCATCATCATCATCATCATCATCATCGTCGTCGTCCTCGTAGTCGTCCTCCTCGTAATCGTCGTCGCCATCGTAATTATCGTCATTATCGTCATTATTGCCGTCACCATCATTGATGACTATAACCAACAATTATCAAGTGGTCATCATGATCATCATGCCAACTGATTTTATCTTCACGACGAAAATTAACAATCTCATCTTTAGTAAAACTGTAAACTGTAATCCCCTTTAAAGAAACAACACAGAAATAGAGCCACACAGATACAAGCACATGATACATTCTTTTTTACACGAGAACATATGTATGGAAATTGAGAATACTGTCTAACCTGATCTAACGGCCCCCTGTATAAGACAATCACATGTACAAACGGCCACTTCCTAATTCTCCTATTGCGTATTTTTTAAAACATTATAATGACACCTTGTAAGACGCCCATCTGTCTAAGACAACCACAGTTTTCCTCGATAATGGATGGGAATCTTAGGCAATTCCGAAAATACCCTGAATTCTTTGCAGATGTCCCCATCATGTGGTCATCTCGGATGTGGGTGACCTTCATGTGTTTCTGGGGCATCACCATCGTCATATCTCTCCGGTACAACATGAGTATGGCCATCGTGTGCATGGTTAACCACACTGCTGTCAACGCTCAGAGCAGTGACGATGGCCTGTTCTCCGACGCCAAAAGACTTTTGCACCTATCCGAGTCAGGCGGGGTCAACGGCTCCGCGAATCATTGGCAACCCCAAAAGAACGGAAGGTCTGAGTGTGGCGTCAGATTCGGGAACGAGACAGTTGAACATAATGAAGTATGTTCGTTTGTGTGTGTGTGTGTGTGTGTGTGTGTGTGTGTGTGTGTGTGTGTGTGTGTGATGTGAAAACGCCAAACCTTTACTAACATCTGGACGATAGACATTTATCTTATCTAGTCTCATCGTACGACTGATACTCATTTTCCTTATTGTTCTGGACTAATATGAGGGAACACAATACTCAGTGACAAATGTTTGCCCCTCCCCCTCCCTTCATTTTGTTCAAGAAAAATTAGATGCTGTCCTAATAAACCACGTCTGTATTGGTGGTGATGATGACTATACAAAGCACTTATCTGACTTGTCAGAACAAACCGTTCACGTTGCAATTTTTATATTCATTTTATCGATAATATTAAACCAAAATACAGTATGCATCCACAATTCTGACCATTTCCCTAACAGAGTGTTTACGTTGTTCTCTCTCCCTCTCTCTTTTTCTTTCTCTTTCTCTCTCTTTCTCTTTCTCTCTCAAGAACGCGCGCGCGCACACATGCACGCACACACACACACACACACACACACACACACACACACACACACACACACACACATACACACAAACACGCACTCACACACCTGGCCACAATGTAAGTTTGTATAATAATATATACTTCTCCTTGACGTCTAAACCCCTACCATTATATCACCAGGACGGCCCGCTGCTCTGGTCTAAAGAGACGCAAGGCTTCGTCCTAAGCTCCTACTTTTGGGGCTACGTGGGTCTCCAGTTGGTGTCTGGCTGGGTAGTAGGGCGTGTGGGCAGCCGTTACACTCTGGGACTGAGCGTCCTGGCAGCATCTGTAGCCTGCGTCTTCATCCCCGTGACTGCTATGCACAGTGTAGTAGGTACCATGGTGCTCAGGGCTTTCATAGGATTTGTCAACGTGAGTGAAGGTTTTATTTTCTCTGTCATACGATCTCTTGCAATCAGGAGAAGACGATAACTATTTTAAAATCTGATCGATGAAACGTAATCTAGACTTCAGCTGTTGCCCAACGTCAAAGTCACATTAATATGATAGCCCTCTTTTTATGTCGTTTAAAGAAATTTCAAAATCTGTTGTATTCGACCTTGTATCAAAGTCATCATCAGAATCTTGTTAGTTTGTTCTGGTTCCAACATCGTTACTTAAAAAATGCCCATCTGAGACTTTGCCCTGTGTTTTGAAGATATTAAATTACTCCATGAGAAGCGATGTAGAGCCGGTATGTCTATAAGAGCTGTAATTAAATCTCCTAAAAATTATTAATAACCATAGGCATGACACCCCGTCCAAGCATCTATAACGAGTTAATATCAATGATAAATTAATATAATCAAAGAAGCATCAAAAGTAAAAACAAATTAGGGGTCATATTTTGACAATAAAGTTCATATGGCCGCCCATATCAGTTCACTGTGTAAAAGCCTCATGAAAAAGTGACAACAACGCTTGATACATCCCTAGGTCTCTCAAAACTTGACCATTGTGACTCGCTGTCAGCTGGGCTGTCTCAAAACAACATTTTAAAAAAAGTTCCAGATTATTCAAAAAAAAAGCAGCAAGATTAAACATGAGGAAAAAGAAGACAGAGATCATAACAGCTATTTTGAGTGAGCCTCATTGGTTGTCTATCGAACATCAAATAATGTTTAGGATTGCGACATTCATTGTGTTTCAAACGTTTTAACAACACAGCACTAAAGTACAGTATTACATGGGCCTATTTCAGGTCCACCATTCACCCACAATGCTCAGGCCATCAACTGATAACAAGTTAGCTGTGCTAGGGATAACGTTGAAAGATTTGGAGAAAGGGCGGTTTTCATTCTGGGTTCACCTTTTGGAATACCATTCCATATAAAATCAGGCGAGCGGCAACTTAGATTCAATTTAATAACAGCCTCAAGACTCATCTTTTTAACCGCTTATTTGTGATCTAAAGAATCTGTGAGTCGATTTTTATTATTATCATCCCCATGTGTATGCATGTCAGAACATTTTTTACCGACTAGATATCTACATAATTTGGGGTGACTACACATCCATCTCGGAATGGGATGGCATTCTTTTAGTGACAATAGTATGGCATTTCATATATAGCTTTCATCCGATGAGAGGACTCATTCTTTTTCATATTGTGAATTACAAACCACAACCACATTTTTTTTTATATCAAAGTGTGTATTATTATGTTCTGATTCGTATTTTTATGTCCACATGCTTGTTTATAGTTTAGGTGAATTTCTAATTGTACTCCATGTCGAACGGCGTGTAATTATTTTAGTAGCGTTATTCTTTTAACATCTTTTCGATTGTGTAGGTGTCTGCCTGGAATATACACGTTCGAGCACCTTGTCAAGATGAAAATGTGCACTATAATTAATGCAATTTAATGTTGTAATAGGTCCTCTTACACTTGACTCCTGTTTGATTGTCATGAATAGCAGTTAGCTAACGGACATGTAAACATGAGATGGTCGGTTCGGTGGCTGTCCTTGGAGAAAGAAACTTTACTTGAATTTTACCATTTAGCGCGGTCCCATCGGAGATGGACGTTAAATTCGAAGGTTTTGTCTCTTATATAACCTTATAGTGCACGCGGCTGTAAACCCATACAATTCAGCAAGTTTTCGTCGCCGTTAAAATAGTAGGTCTCTTTCGGTCTCTTTTTGATCACGAACAATACTGAGCCCTCGTAGTTCGTATTTCTACTGCATGGAGCAGTGAGCCGAGCAAGATGGTTTGTGGCTGGCGAGAGAGCGGCAACGCCTCCCACAAAATGTGTAGATGTGGCTGGTTGTGTGTATGTGTGTGTGTGTGTGTGTGTGTGTGTGTGTGTGTGTGTGTGTGTGTGTGTGTGTGTGTGTGTGTGTGTGTGTGGTGGGGAGGATATCTGATTGCTCAGGGTTTTTATTTTGCTCTTTTCTCTTACATCAGGCCCAGAACTCATTCTCCTCCTGGTTAAGAGACTAACCTTGTTTTCCTAAATTATTTCTGAGTTTTGATTCTCGTTAGAGGCTTACAATTTCACACTTTCTGACGCACGTCAGATTCGACCCTTGGCCCGTAACTTCTTCCTGCTAGATCAGTTTTTCAACCTAGAGCGCCACAATAGCCGAATTGATGAAAACTGTATGTTCCTCTTTTCCTTTAGCTGCCTTCACTCTTCCCATCCAACGACTTGCAGCACGTTCTCAAAATTGATAAAAACAACAACCTAAGGTTTCATTTTGATTTCAACTTTAAAGTCTTCCACTGTTACGTAGACGGTACAACAGTGTAGCATTCCTTTTGTTTTCTAACCATAAACCCATACCCCCATTAACGGATCCATTTATGGATTAAAAGTGCAAAGATAACATGCGGCAGGTGTGAATTCAACATGGAATACATAAATTTAGATTCTCAAATAGTCTCAGCGCTCGCTTCACTTGAGGTTCAGTTTTTCTACTCACAACGCGTTTGGAGATGAATAAACATTAGAGCATTGTTTTGTACGTTTAGTAGTAGTAGTAGTATAGGGTTTTACGGCGCGCGCAACTGCGTCATTTTGTACGTTTACTACCATGTAGTAATCAATAAGGAAAAAGAGGCTGGTGTTACATTAGGCTCTTCAGCTGCATTGTGGTGCCATTGTCTCTATCATCCAAACAACAGAGGTTACTGATATACCTCACAGTACAAATGGACAGATCAGTGTACGTGGATAGAGAGTTGTGGTTTATATCTACGGCGTACTGTCAAACTCCATCACACGTCACTTTTCTTTTCGTTGAATTAGTTTTAGTAAGAATTTTACGGCACTTGCAACACAATAAGGTCGTAGAATTGCTAAAGATTAGCGGTGTTACAAGAGAGTAGTAGACATAACATTGAAGGAGGAGAGATAATGGCGACAGATGTTTAATAGGAATGAAGGAGCAAATCACTCAAGAGAACCCGTCAACCAATCGCCGTCACGGTTCGAAAGTCTTAAACACAGGGCGGTCGAGATGACGTTGAAAATTTGGTAAAAGTCTTGTGCAACGTAGGTCAAGTAAGTTTTGATTAGAGATCTCAAGTAGACGTTTGTCTGCATTTTATGCAGAAAGCACTGTATAACTTTGTATATCAAACTATCCTTAACGTTTCGCTCTGGTTGCTTTTACGCCAGGTCTTTTGTAATTGTAAAATAGTAGTATTATGTATAGATTTGATTACAAAGCTCAATGAGTTACCATGGTGATGTGTCAAATTTAAAAACCACATCAGTGTTAAAAGAGGCATTGAATCTAGCCCAAAATCAAGCCTAATTAAAATAAGATTATTTACAATATTATACCTTTCACCAAGCTGGGCATTTTTCAGAAGTTATATTGTCTGCCTTGTAGGGCGTTCAATTTACTTAATAGGTGTTTTATTCTGTTCTATCAAAATTCATTCACGGTCTTCCCCTCTTCTGCTTATGTCCCTTTTTTGTACTTCTATCTTGGTTCATGCTTCTCGCTTGAATCCTTTTGTTGAAATAAAATGTTAAATGTCACCTTGAATAAGACAGCTGTGTCCAAATGGCATAACAGACTGACAGACAGACACAATGACACTCACGCACACACGCACACACACACACACACACACACACACATACACACATACACATACACATACACATACACACAATATCTATCTATCTATCTATCTATCTATCTATCTATCTATCTATCTATCTATCTAT